TTCATATTTTCACAACTTAACACATGGCTATTGATTTAAAAATTCCTTATGGCAGCCTTATGGATCTTTCGTTCGAACATCCTGCAGAGTACTTGGATGTCAGTTAGCTTTCTGGTTCAGGCTTAATGGGGATTCTATGTTGGCCAGACTAGGTATGATGGGCAGTGTCATTGCCATTTCAAAACGGCCGGATGGTTCTTTCGCAGGTGGATTGGCCAACTTTGATTTGCATTTGCGAGCCATTTTCCGGCCTAACCATTTCAAGTTGAAAATATTCCGAATGCCTGCCTGTTATTGTTGTCTCGACATAAATCTTGCTCAGTTTACAGCTCGCGCTCCTAAATGGCCTTCCACTGACATTTTGTCCTGCGCATATATCTCTATATATATACACATTTGTTTTATTTCTTACATTTTTGTTTTCGGTTTGTCACAGCGGCTGACAGCAATGCGATTTGAGCGGACAGCGATTTTAGCATTTGGCTCCGTTGAAAAGCTTATAAAAATTACCAACGGCAATGAGTGGAAAAACTTCCGACTTCCTGCCTCCGACTCTCACTCCGAATTTGACTCCCCTTACGATGAGGCGTGGCAGGCTGGAAATTAGATTTTGAATATTTTATGCACCACTCGTTGGTGGCCGGAGACGTGTATAAATTTTATACACAAATTCTTTTTAAATGCTGGCACTTTTTGAAATTCCAATCTGGCTGTCATGTCAGCTTGACAATTTGCCCAGTCAGATGCATGAAATGGAATTGTTTGAATGCATAATCCGACTCAACATGGTCGAAAACAAATAATAACTGTCTACCAGCTACCAGCTAACTGATACCAGCTCCCAACCACCAGCTGCTGGATATGATTGCTCAAAGGTGCCGGATTTTCTATGGCTCACATCATCGCTTGTTTCTGTGTGTTGCATAAATAAAATAAAATAGAATTTTGCCACCGTATCTGTACTCAGGTTCGGAGTTTCCGAGCCATTTTCCCTTAGACACACCCAGAGCTGTAATCAAATTTAATGGCCTACCTCAAAAGCCAATTCAATTTACACTGAATCAAAGCGAGCTGCCGTAGAAAAAGACCTCAACATCAGGCAGCTTCAGCTTCAGCTTCGTTTCCAGTTTCAAGTTCTTCGGTTTGGTTTCGGCTTACGGTGCGTATGAGCAACGCCGGCCAATGTGATTAGCAGGCACTTTGATGACTTCATAGACAATTTGGCCTTTGTTTTCCTAGGGACATCCAATCCGCAAGCCGTAAGCTACTAAATTTTTTCCTCTATGTCGTTAATGTGCCATTTAACGGCGGAGCGAGCAAAGTCAAAGTCAAGTTGGGTAATTTCCTCTAATGGCTTTTCATTTCATCGATAGTGACACTTTCAATTGTTATCGTCGATGCCGTAAAAAAGACAACTACATTGAGTCTTGAGTTTTTGGGTCTTGGTTTTGGACGTGGGCGTGGCCAATTACCTCGGCATGGAGTGCTAAACAGGAAATGATTTTCTGGCCACTCCTTAGCTTTCTGTCCTCAGCCCTTCATCCCTTAGCCCTCTGGTAATGAAATCATGAATTAGATTTTGAGCTTGAAAATTGTTATTGTTTTCGGCCAACTGACTGGCTAAATGACTTTTCTGCAGTCGTTTATGTGTGTGTATTACAGTGTGTTGGTGTGTGTGTGCTTGTGATCCTGGGTCCTCAGTCCTGGTCCTGAGTCCTGGATGGGAATTGTATGGGTTGCTTTGAATGCTGGCTGCCTCGTAGCATATTCCCCAAATGTCTATAAATCCTTTTTAAATGTTTTTAAGCTTTTGTTGGACATTTTCAGAAGCAGTAGCAGTGGCAGTAGCTGCAGTCTGCAGTGTGGTAGCCGTAATGCCAAGCTGGAAAAGTCGGGAAAATTGAGGGGGAATATACATATACATACATCTCACACACACAAAACCAAAAGGGAACAATATTAACGTGTCAACGAGAATTTATGTTTACCGCAACTGGACAACTTTCAAAAGCAGCTCCAGCATCCTGCTCCTTTTTGGTAAGTGGTGTGTGTCTGTGTGCGAGTGTGTGTGTTCGGGCTGTGTTTGTATTTGTGCGGAAGTGGCAGCAAATGCTTTACTGGCTCGCCAGTTGGCAGTGCTTTCTTTTTGTCATAATTTTTTCGGTTTGCTATTTGGGCCATTGTTGCCACATACGAATGCTGGGGAATCGAGAGTCTCGTATGCAAATGATCCATAAATATCAACACTTTTGCTTCTGGCCGGCTGGTCGGCCACGGCAATCGAGGACGCTCAGCTAAAAGTGGCCAGCAATTTATCGCCCTCTCTCTTTCTCGGCCCGTGCCAGCCATCTCTTTCCTCTGGCTTGGCCATCCCCATCCCCATCCCCTTCTATGTGTGCTTATGGTAATTGTGCTGAAAACTTGAAGCATTTTGCGGTGTGCGCAGGACCAAGGCTCCGACTGGCTCGTACATAAATAAATTACATTTGTTGCTCATTAAGCATTGAGTGGCCGGCAGGATAAAGTCGAGGGGGGTGAGCACATACTTGGGCAAGGATACTCGTTTGTGTGTGTGTGTGTGTATAGGATGTGGTGGGTCGGTCCATCCACTCTCCCGGCAATGGGTCAGTTTAAAGCGTTAATTCGCTTTGGAGGGTGTGTATAATGAAGGGCTCAATAATTGAGTGAATACCGAATTGATTATTTAAGCCTCAATTACCGGAATCGCAGCATGTCCCACGGTTGACAGGACAACCAGCCGCCAACAAGGACCGCTCGCCCATAATTAATTATTATTGGAATTTAACCAAAAGAGGAACAAACTGCGTATATGCACTTGCCAAAGCAAAAGGACGCATTCCAAAAATTCAAGTATCTACTTTCCGATTCCGCCAAGATATTTAGACGCCCCCCGGAGCGATGCGACAAAAACTGGACTGTTTGGAAATCTCGAGTCCAAAATAAACACACTCTTGCCAGGATGGGGGACTATTGCCCCTCAGTGTTGACCAAGGCAGTTCGAGGAGCGTATAAAATTCATAAAATATCCGTACTCGGAAAACTAAGACCAGGCCAGGGCATTTTTTCCACACATACAGATTCGTTTTATTTATGTTTTGAGTGCAAACAATTTTCTTGGCTCCGTTTTCGGGTTTCGGGAATTTATCTTTTTGCTTTTGTCAGCTGCACATGTGGTGCCGCCTGCCTGCTGCTCCTCCAGATGGTGGGCGGGGCCTGTTCATTATGACTTTCTATATTTCATAACCCATACAGTCTTTGAACACTTTGCAGCTGAAATTAATTTTTGGTGGCAAGTATTTACCTTGCCGCAACAGCCAATCGATGTTGGTGGCCAAACTATGTCAACTCCTGGCGGAAAACCAATGTTAGGAAGCTGAAGTGGTGGAAATCGGCGGAGTGGGATGGATCCCTGGCCAACAATCAAAATGAAAACAACTATCGACGGGCACGCGGGAAACAATTCGGATCCATTCTACATTATTGGTCACTCAATTCACACTCCACGGGCCATGTCCATAATGCACGTTTTAATCAGAAACAGGAGGCATCCGTATCAAAATACTGTCATTGTTTCAAATGCAAATCATTCGAACAGGCCACTAAACAGCACACAGGAGGCCTCCGAAGAGCATTGTCGGTATTGTCTCTCTATGAAGCCCCAGCTCCCTGCCACGCCCCAGCGGGGCTTGGTACCTATTGTTGGTATTATTGTTATTTGATTTATGCCCATTGCGTGTGCATTTAAGTGCAAATTGTAGCCATGTTACCGGTGCCCCTCAACGGCCTCCTGCTGTCCCGATGTCACCATCCCAGCCACCGCTCAACGATATTTGTATATTGCATTTTGTAAACATTTAATATTCCAATTATGTCGCACAATTGAATTGCGGGCATTGCCAATTTCATCGCATCGTTCATCGCATGATTTTGGTTTTCTTATGGGATTGGATTTAATATATTCATGTTTGAGACTGTAGTTAATGTTGACTGTTTTATGTTGTCCTTGGTAAATGATTTTGAAGCTACTTACTTCAAAGTAAAAGAAATAATTTTGACGACGTGGGGTATCAAGAATGTGTGCGTGTAAGAACATACATAAGATGCTCTTTAAATCTCCATGAATTTTCTTAAGTTGATTGAATTGACCTTAAAACTATAAAACTTACTATTAAAAGAATATTAACTACATATTCAATATTATTGGAAGAAATGATAGGATTTGAAGGTTAAGTATAAATAAATAAAATTAAATAAAAAACCTCTTGACGAGGTAAAATAGCAATAATTCGCGGCGAACACGCTCAAAATATGTGATATTCATTTTTGTGACAAATAAATCCAATATATGTATGCATATCCAACATAGGCGCAATAAAAATTGAATAAATTGCGAAACCGGATAATATTTGGAGCATTCTGCGGAGGATGTTCGCCCGACTTTATATTCGCATCTAGCTTGGTGCCCTCGGTTAAATAGATCCATAGAGGATCAACTAGCCCTCACAAATTGGTGTTAAGAACACACAATATCAATACTTCTGGCCACCGTGCACGCAAATGCAAAGTTGCTGGGTTTTCTCGACTTTTGATCCGTGAAATAAACAGGGCAATATGAAAGAACGAGGCTCATAAGGATAGGGATAAGGATAACACTGAAAAAGTAACAATTTTTATGATTGAATAATTAGTTATTAATGATTTTTTATACCACCATGGATCGCATTTGTAAAATGCGAAACTTTAAAGGTTTTATTATCTTTTAAATATAAGCTATTTCAGAACGTAAGCATGAATAATTATATAAGAGTAAGCGCCTTTTTTACAATAAAACACATTGAAGAATTACTTATTCATTTTTTATATATTCAACAAACTATTTTCTTTGACTTAGGACATTTTTTCTTTCAATCGAAATGTTACATCGATTTCAGGAAAGATGGGGGAAATAACAAGGGATTTTGAAGAATTGACGGAGAGACTACAGTTGCTCTGGTTGGAAGCGACTGAGTTTAGGCCTCGGGGGCAACGGGCAGATGAGCTCCCTGGGGCTGGAATCCGTTCTCATCGGCGATGTAGTTCACGGTGTAAGTCTGACCATCGTCAGCCACGAAGGAGAAGGAACCCTTGACGACGATGGCCTCATTCTCGGAACCAGCGTTCTTCAGCTCTCCCGCAGCCTGAGCTGCCGAACCATCGCTGGTCTCATAGCTAATTGAAAAAACGCAGGTAATAAGTATTTGTCCTATTTGTATGTAATTGTCCTCCCTGGACAATCCCTTTTATCTTACGTGTATTTGAAGCTCTGAGGTCCGACATCAGACTCCGACCTGAGGACCGTAACTTCCTTTTCAGCGGGGGCGGCCAGGGCCAGGGCGAAGAGGGCAACGAAGACAATCAAGAATTTCATGGTGATTTTTGTGTTTTGTGTTGATCTGTGGATCTCGAACAGTTCGCGACGAATGGTACTGATCGAAGTTCGTGTAAGCGCTTTTATAGATGGAAGACTCCCTGAGTTTATTCAATGCGGGCCAAACTAGACAAACGTGTTTGAAACATAATCATCAAAGTCAATGTTAATGTGAAATGTCTGGTTTGGGTTTCGTTTTCGTTCACCAGTTGGACCATTTTAGGCCTAATACAATATGTAAATTTCCCCACTAAAATTAGACCCAAAACTCGACTCGAAAAGAATCACACCTATAAATATTTAATTATTAAAATTTGCGCCTTCTTATTTCGATATGTTATAATATATATCAAAAGTCAGTGACGTCAAGAAGGAAATGAATGAAATAATCCCAATGTGGACGATCTGGACTTGTTAATGTTACATTTAACAAACATTTTATTAATTATATTTTCTGAATGACCGCTTCCATTATTGAAATTCAAATCAATAAATACAACAAAATCAATAAAACCATAAACAAAGCATAAAATCCATTGCTAAAAAAAATATATTGGTGCCCATGCCTTGTCTTGACGTCCAAGAAAAACTAAAAACTCAGACACGTGTCGTAAAATAATAGTTTCTAATGTGTAGTTTAAATCTAATATAATGCTTAAAATATCAGATATTTTAAGCGTGACTTGCGGGTTTGTCACCCTTATTTTACCTCGCCAAGAAGTTTTTGTTTTATTTGATACTAGTCTTAAATATTATTAAAATTCCTCTAAATTTATGTAATTTCTTGAAAGCAAGATGCTTCAGTGCTTTGTGAAGTACAAAAATGTGACCAATGGTTTCTTATAAAAATATTTTATTTTTATTAAATGAGTTTTTATTTTTTATATTTTTTTTTTATATTTTTTATCTAATTTACTCAGGCAGCTAGCTAAAATATTTGTTTGCAGTTTTTCTTTTCTTCTGTACTTATTCATTTATTTAAATTACGAAAATATCTTTATCTTATATCTAACACAATGTGTTCAGCAAAATATCGATAACTGTATAGTAATTTTCTTGGTGCCTCGTTTGGTCAAGAATTTTTTTTGCTTTTCTATCGTTTTCTAGCATTTCTTTAACATTGGTTTTTTCCTAAAATATCACAGAGCTCTGTTATGCTCTAAATGTCCTATAAAAACCACCCCTTCGCAACTAACAGCGTATCTTACCCCTGCTACCATTAAGTTCCACAACAGTCTGAAACACCCCCGAGGACGCATGTTATGTGAAATTGGGAACAGTACAGGCGGTTTAAGGACTCGGAGGACTAACATTGCTGTTACAGGCGTCCTGATGTACTGTATGTGATTATCCTTAAACGCAAGGATACTCGAAAATATAAACTCGCTAAGCAAATATTGAAATTATCCAAATATAGATGGCCCAGGAGGAGGATAGAGAAAATCGCTCGGAATTGTTTGCTAATGTGTCGGATGCAATTGAGACAGTCTGATTGGGTCCTGGGCTTCCGATTAGGCCGCCGCCTTGGCAACGGGTGATAGATAATCCTTCAGGTGGGTCGAAACAATTTATGCGATTCGCCTGGCGTGCCTTTCATATCAATAATACCCGTCTCGATGAGAGTTCATGTTCTAATTAGGCCCAAGCAATTCAATTGTCTTGAAATTAAGGCCAGATTGGCGGCGCAAGGGGCCTGGACTGTAAATTATCAGCAGACGAACAATGGAAATTCATTTAAACAGCAAACACACGACCAATGAAATTAGTTTGCATAAGGTCATTACACGTTTATTAAATTTCCACCCCCTCCCCAGCCGGGCTCTCCTTGGCCTGGAGCGAATGTGTGGCAATATACGGATTATAACGCTGGCCGATGACTGACCGATAAGCAGCTGTCGACCGACCACATCGTCAGGGCACTTGAAGACACTTGGCCTGGCCCATTCAGCTCCGATCTAGTGCCTCCGACTGCCCTAATTACTCCTGGCAACCGGGCCGAGTACTTAACCGGAATTGTATAAATATGCAGGGGGCGGAATGGACGGGAGGAGCATTCAAGGCCTCCGTGGATAAGCACCAGCTGAGTTGTCATTGCTTTTTCAGGGCTCTAGAGAAATGGTCAGGAAAATGCAGGATTCCTTGGATAAATATTTCAAGAAACAAAGGGAATGGCTGCTTAAATGGATATTAACTTGGAATACTTTGATTCTACTATCAAGCAACAATTTAATGTAGCTCTTTCTTTAACCTATCTACTTCCAGGCAGCTATAGAGCTGGCACTTCAACTCATTTCCATCAAAGCCCGTGACCTCAGAAAGTAAAAAAAAGAAAACACGCTGAACTTGAAGGAAAATAAAACATCAAAGTAGCCGCTGGAGGAGCGTTTTAAGTGGATGCGTTTGGGAAAACGTTAAAGTCTAGCCATTTGATGCTGTTTATGCAGCGAAAAGTTTGCGAGTGGCTAAGACAAAAGGCAAGCAGCACTGGGGCGCTGCGACTCGAGCTTGACCTTCGACCTCATGCGGGTGGGTCAGTGCTGACAGCTGGCCTGCCACTTAAGTGGGCTTTTAGTGGCCACACCCACTATAGGCCTCCTGCCCCATCCTCCAGCTGGGCTATTTTCCGATTGTTGTTGCCCCAACTTTGAAAATGTTTTTTCTTTCCGACTTTTTCATTTTGTTGAAATTTGCCTTTTTTTTTTTTGATATTTTGATTTGGCTTTCCGGTCGGCGGTGGGGGACTCTTTGACCATTTTCTATATTAATTTTTACACACGAGCTAGCATTCTGGGCATTTTTGATAAGCAAAATAATTATCTGTATATAGGGATTTATTATTTATATTTGCTTTGCAGGGGCCAGGGCTCGACACCAAGGCCGGGCGGAAATTAAAGACTGCCGTGGCGTCATGCCCCGACGAAGACTGAAAATGTTGCAGCCGCAGGCTAAAATAAATTGAAATTTTCATTGCGAATTTTGCGAGTGGTGGTCCGGGGCGGGACTTCCAAAAAAAGTAAAAAAATTCGAGGGTCCACGACAGACTGTCGAATGCAGTTCACCGCTCTGCATGTGTTTATGATTAATTTCCTGAAATAAAACAAATATTGTGCCCAGAGCGCATACGTGACAATGATTAGATTAGACCATGGAGGCCGCCCAGGGGCTTTAAGGCATTTCTCGGAATCCGAGTGCGAGCCTTTGAGGTATTTATACGCTTCTTATACCGATGCCCTCGAAAGTACATTTTAAATTCAGAGCTCAATTTCGCCGGGTAATTGCTCATTTGAAAAGGGGCTAAACAAAAAGGCAACTCAGCATCTGAGCATCTCAGCATCCCAGCATTTCAACATCTTGGCATCAAGTTGAGCACCGTTTCGAAGGGAAAACCTTTGTGCTGGCGAAATATAAAAAGAAACTCTTTATTTACTGTCAGGCACTTGGCCAATTAATTGCTGTTATGGCAAAAGACTTTCCCTCTTTGTGCGCTGTCACTACCAGCAGATTGCGGACTTTTGCACAGATAGTGTGCGGGATGTTGTGCACGGAGAAAAATTCTTAAGACTTTAAAATTGTACAATATTGTAATAAAGGAAAGGCTAACAATGGTGGAAAGTACTCATGTAGTAAAGGTTTCCAAAGCTTACCCAAAATAACTATCAAATTTGTTTAATATTTACTATCTTTATATTTCTTTCTCTTTATATGTTTCATTTTCCTTTACAAATTCCAAAATCAACGTTTTTTTTTCAAGTGTAAAAGGTAGTTTGGACAGTACCTGTGTGAGTCCCGCGTCATTAACCAAGTGGAGTGGCAGGGAGTTGGCCAAGCAGATGCCATCGCCACCACTCGTCCTTGTGCCTTTTGCCTTCAATTGGAAAGGAAACTCAAACGGCTGCTCAAGCTGTTGCTCCAGATCTGCTTGTGCCGCTTTGCCTGCTTTGGCTGCTTCTGCCACGAGTATCCTTAGACGAGTTAAGTAGACTACTAAATGGAGGCGGGCGGAGCAGAACGGAGAGGATGATGAGCTCGCCGGGCTCGTCCTGTCTCTGTACTGCTCTGCACTCGTTGTCCTTCCATATTCCTGATGAGGGTTGCCAGCCAGCTTGTCGAGTTGTCGACTTGGCCGAGTTGGAGATTGGTAAGCGGGTGGCAGGCAGGACGGGTTGGCTGGTAACCGAGTGGCATGGGGACGCCTCGTACTTAAGTGTGTTTTCAAAATTAAAGCCTGTTAATGAGATTCGCTTTGCTGACTCACGTTAAGTGGCTTAGAGTGTATCGTAAGTAAGCACTTTTGGGCACAAAGATCAAGGCGACACTGGGCTGTTTTAGCCGGATTGCCGTAACTTATTAAAAATAATACCCAACAATTTGGATAGTTTGCCAGGCAATAGTGCCGTTTACCTTAATGGAAGTGTCCTTTGTTCTAAGCTGGCCAATGGTTTCGGGCATTTTGTCCATTTGCATATTCAGGAAACTGTATATTGGCCACTGATTTAGCCCAAAGGCAGTTGCCAATCGAACCATGCACATATTTTGACTTTCCTTTAGTCTACCATATATCGAAAATGTGTTACAGATTATTAAGGCTTCAGTGCAAAATAATTCATTTTGCATGCCAATTTGTTTGTGGTGGCATAAAAAAGTGGCAGGCAAATAAAAAATTGTATTTCAAATTCGAAATTTGTGAATTCCGATTGCGTTTGCCACGCACCCCCTCTAATACTGGTGGTGCCAAAATAAACACACACGCACCGCCAGGTGGGGACCTAGTCACTGGGAAATAAAAACATTTACAAGCGTATCCTCGAAATGGGGAAGCCCACAAAATAAATGATGTTCGCTCACGTGTTTTGAATGTGACAGATTTGAGCCTTTTGTCACGATTGTTGATGATGGGTTAACAAACGGCAATAACAACAGCATCTACCTACAAGGTGGCTGTGGAGAGTCCTTTCTGCTCTGCCCTCTGTATAAATATCAGCGGAAAGTGTATGCCAAACGATAAAGAATTTGTCAACATCTTCTTGGCTGAGGAGTTAAGTCCTTCCTGATGGGTTTTGGC